ACCACTCCTTCCGTGTGGAAATTTGTGTTAATGTCTAAGCTGAACCTCCCTTGGCTCAACCTGAGGCCGTTTCCTCTTGTCGTAGCCATAGTTATTCCGGAGGAGAGAGCGACCCCGCCTCACTGCAGCCTCCCTTCAGGTAGCTGCAGTGCGATAAGGGCTCCGCGGAGCCTCCTCTTCTGCCCTCTGAACAACCGCAGCTCCCTCAGCCGCTCCTCAGGAGCTCTGTGCTCCAGCCCTGCTCCAGCCTCGCTGCCCTCCTTTGGACTCACTCCAGCAGCTCCGTGTCCTTCTTGGAGCGAGGCCCAACACTGAACACAGGATTCGAGGGGCGGCCTCACCAACGCCGAGCACAGGGGGCCGATCCCTTCCCTGCTCCTGCTGGCTGCTCTGTTCCTGACACCTGCAGGAGGCCCTTGGCCTTCCGGGCCACCTGGGCTCCCTGCTGGCTCCTGCTCAGCCGCTCTCGACCAGCACCCCCAGGTCCTTCTCTGCCGCGCAGCTCTGCAGCCGCTCTGCCCCAGGCCTGTAGCGCCGCACGGCCTTGTTGGGACCCAAGTGCAGGACCTCGGCCCTTGGCCTTCTTGAACCTCCTACAATCGGCCTCCACTCATCGATCCAGCCTGCCCAGATCCCTCTCTAGAGCCTTCCTACCCTCGAGCAGATCAACTCTTCCTGCCAGCTTGGTGTCGTTTGCTGAGGGGGCACTCGATGTCCTCATCCAGATCATCCATAGAGATATTAAAGAGGATGGGCCCCAACAGTGACCTGTGGGGAACACCCCTCGTGAGCGGTCGCCAGCGGGATTTAACCCCATTCGCCACCACTCCCTGGGCCCAGCCACCCAGACAGTTCCTCACCCAGCAAAGGGAACCCCTGTCCAAACCATGGGCTGCCGGCTTCTCCAGGAGAAGGCAACAGGAGACGGTGTCAAAGGCCTTCCTGCAGCCTAAGGAGAGAACATCCACAGCCCTTCCCTCATGCACTGGGCGGGTCACTTGGTCGTAGCAGGCGATCAAGGAGGCAGGACCTGGCTTTCCTGAGCCCATGTTGGCTGTGCCTGATCCCCTGGTTACCCAGCACATGCCGTGCGATCACCCGTGGGGCAGGGAGGCCACACGCTGGCCCCTCTCAAGCCTCTACTCTGGGTGAGCTGTCCAGTGCCCTTTGGCCCCTCTCTGACAGCAGCTTGTCCCCTCCTTTCGTGCTGAGTGGTGAGAAAGTAAAGGAGATGGAAAAACCCTTCCACAAGCAGCTCTCCTCCTTCCTGCCCATTGGACTTTCCCTCTGAAGCCTCTGGGGACAGCTCAGAGATCTCGTGGGTTTTTGTCATCCCAGAGCTAAGGGGCCCACTTATAAAGGCCTCAACAGGCTCCCGTGGGCTCATAAGGGCTCGTAGAAGCACTTAAGGGCCTCTACGGTCTCGTAAGGCCTTGCACAGGCCCATTCAAACTTGAAAAGGCCACCAAAGGCTCCTGTGGTCTAGTACGTGCTCTTTAAAGGTCCTGACGTCCTCCTGCAGGGCCGCATGGGCCTGTACAAGCTTGTAAGGGCCTTGACAGGCTTCTGTGGGCTCTCCTGGGCTCCTACAAGCTTATAAAGGCCACCATGGGCTCCTGCGCACACAAGGGAGCCCATACAAGCCTATATAGGCATCTAGGGGCCCTGTGGAACATGCAGCCTCGCAAAGGACCTCCGTGTGCTCCTGCGGGCTCGCAAGACCCCTTTACACCTCTCTACAGCCTTGTAAGGACTCACATAGTCCTATAAGAACTTGCAAAGGCCTTGAGAGGCTCCTGCAGACCAGTAGCCAGGCTGGCAACGGGCAGGAGAAGGGGCCGGCAGCACATGCAGGGGGACGAGGAGGTGGGAGAGCTGTGGGGGTGCAGAGCACCCCTCAGAGGACAGTGCAGGAGGACGCCCACTCCTCTGCACGCGGGGCCCTGGGGCAGGTGCTGATGGGAGACGCAGGCTCCGGCCCCAGTGATTTTATTCCCTGGCATCTTGGTGCCACCCAGATCACAGCCCACACTGGGGCTGCCTCTCCCCAGCTCCTGCTTCCGCATCCCCCTTCTGTGCCCCAGTGGAGCTGAGTGCTTTCCCGCCACCCTCGGAGGTGCCCAGGCTGCTCCGGCAGTATGGGCTAATGCCTGGCCTTGGAGCAGGGCCAGTGTCCCCATGTGCACCATGAGACAGCCCCAGCTCTGGGCTGCTGGGGCAGCCTTGGTGCCCTCCACCCTTGTGCCGAGCTGTGCAGGGCTTCGGGTCAGCTGCTGCCTGGAGGCCCCTTGTCTTCCTGCTCCCTGCCCCGCTGCCCTGCCTGGCACAGAGCCATGGGGTGGAGCCACTGCCGGAATCGAAACCTGCAAGCTTCAGGAGCTGGCAGAGCCGTGAAGCAGCTGGGAGGTACTGTCCCATCTGCAGCCGCGGCCATGGAGCTCTACAACACCCCGTCATGGCAGCTGGACAAGTTCATCCAGGAGGAGCTGCAGCCGGACAGCGCCTTCCTGGAGCAGCTGAGCGTGGCGGTGCACACCATCTGCGAGTTCCTGCGGGAGACGTGCTTCACGGGGATGCCTCCGCCCCGAACGCGGGTCCTGAAGGTCATCAAGGTGAGTGGGGCTTCTGGATGCCCTGGGTCCTCCCTGCCCCAGCCTCAGGCAGGGCAGATTCCTTGTTGGACACTCAGGGGCCATGCGCTGTGCAGCACGGGGTTGATGGAGGTTCCCCCAGCCCTGCAAAGGGCTCTTCTCGGCGCTTCCACTGCTACTCGGCATCTGTGTCTTAGCCCAGATGCTTGCCCAGCCCCTCACTGCTATGGAGAAAAGGGGGATTGGGCACTTGTTTCCCTGCTGACCCAGGCTGTGAGAGCCCAGAGTGCACCCGGCTGCCGTGCAGCTCAGGGCCTGGGGGTCCACAGCAATGCCAGCCCTGGGACCGCTCCCAGCAGGGAGGAAGATCTTTCCAAGTGTCCTTTGGGCCTGCTTCTTTGCTAGAAATCTGTTTCCTTCAAGGAGAATAGCCAGACTGTGCGAGGACGCATCAGGTGGGTGCTCTGCAGCAGAAGGACCCGCGTCACTTGTTTTCATGGCCTGAAAGACTGCTCAGGCACAGGGCATCTGCAGAGCTGTAGGCAGGGGCTACCAGATAGGGCTGATGATGGGACAGTGTCAGTGTTTCAGGGTTTCAAGACGAATGTTTTCCAGGGAGTCATTTGCAGAATTGTTTCCTAACACAGTGTGCGGGAACTAGAGGCCTGTCAGCTTCATCTCAGTATCAGGGAAGGTTATAGAGCAGATCATCTGGGGGGCCATCACACGATGTGTGCTGGGTAACCAGGGGATCAGGCACATCTGACATGGGCTCAGAAAAGGCAGGTCCTGCCTCATCAACCTGATCTCCTGCTGTGACCAAGTGACCCGCCCAGTGCATGAGGGAAGGGCTGTGGATGTTCTCTCCTTAGGCTGCAGGAAGGCCTTTGACACCGTCTCCTGTTGCCTTCTCCTGGAGAAGCCGGCAGCCCATGGCTTGGACAGGGGTTCCCTTTCCTGGTTGAGGAACTGTCTGGGTGGCTGGGCCCAGGGAGTGGTGGCGAATGGGGTTAAATCCCGCTGGCGACCGCTCACGAGGGATGTTCCCCACGGGTCACTGTTGGGGCCCATCCTCTTTAATATCTCTATGGATGATCTGGATGAGGACATCGAGTGCCCCCTCAGCAAACGACACCAAGCTGGCAGGAAGAGTTGATCTGCTCGAGGGTAGGAAGGCTCTAGAGAGGGATCTGGGCAGGCTGGATCGATGAGTGGAGGCCGATTGTAGGAGGTTCAAGAAGGCCAAGGGCCGAGGTCCTGCACTTGGGTCCCAACAAGGCCGTGTGGCGCTACAGCAGGGAAGGGATCGGACCCCTGTGCTCGGCGTTGGTGAGGCCGCCCCTCGAATCCTGTGTTCAGTGTTGGGCCTCGCTCCAAGAAGGACATGGAGCTGCTGGAGTGAGTCCAAAGGAGGGCAGCAAGGCTGGAGCAGGGCTGGAGCACAGAGCTCCTGAGGAGCGGCTGAGGGAGCTGCGGGTGTTCAGGGGGCAGAAGAGGAGGCTCTACGGAGCCCTTATCGCTCTGCAGCTACCTGGAAGGAGGCTGGAGTGAGGCGGGTTTGGTCTCTCCTCCGGAATAACTATGGCTACAACAAGAGGAAACGGCCTCACGTTGCGCCAGGGGAGGTTCAGCTTAGACATTAGCACAGATTTCCACACAGAAGGAGTGGTGAAGCATTGGGACCAGCTGCCCAGGGCGTTGGTGGAGTCACCAGCGCTGGCAGTGTGCCATGAACGTGTGGATGAGGCACCTGGAGACATGGTTTAGCAGGATGCTGTAGAAAGGCTTATGGTTGGATTGGATGATCTTGAAGGTCTTTTCCAACCATAATGATTCCATGATTCTCTATCATGCTGGAGAGTCTGGAGATGGGTGTCTTTCAGCCTGGCAGAAGCTGTGGCAGGAGCCAGAGCTGGGGAAGTTCACAGGGGCTTTTCTGCTGCAGAGGACACTGATTCTGGAGCAGGAGCCCAGAGCCTGGCTCACTCTGAGGCTGGGAATCAGAGGGCACATGTGATGTTTGGGGTCCCTCTATGTGCCCAGGCTTGACCCACAGGGCTTGCCCACGCCTGCCAACTCCAATGGAGACCATGGACAAGGACACAGTGGGCAGTCAGCAGGAGCTCTCCTGTTCTCTGCAGGGTGGATCTGCAGGCAAAGGCACAGCCCTCCGAAACAGCTCTGACGCGGACCTTGTGATGTTTCTCAGCTGCTTCAAGAACTATGAGGACCAGGAGAAAAACCGGGCCGAGATCATCCGTGAGATCCAGAGGAGGCTGCTGCAATGCCAGCAGCAGGAGCGCTTTGAGGTGGAGTTTGAAGTGAATCGTTGGCCAAATCCCCGCGTGCTGAGCTTCCAGCTGAGATCCAAGAGACTCCCCGAGTCTGTCGACTTCGACGTGCTGCCGGCCTACGATGCGCTACGTAGGCTCTGCTGCCCTGCCTGGCTGCCACTCTGCCGGGCGCCTCTGAGCCAGGGGGCCCTGCCAGCCCGCGCCTGCAGGAGGGCTGCCGGGCTGGTGGTGCCCCGCACCCTGTCCCCAGCCCACACCCTGCACCCCTGCGTCTTCCCGCTCTGCTTCTCTCTTGCAGACCACGTTGTCAGGGACTACAAGACCGACCCCATGGTCTACATCCGGCTTTTCGAGCAGTGCACGCAGGGAGGGGAGTTCTCCACCTGCTTCACGGAGCTGCAGCGGGACTTCATCAGCAAGCGCCCCACCAAGGTGAAGAGCCTGATCCGCCTGGTGAAGCACTGGTACAAGAAGGTGAGCGGGATTAGGCTTCCCAGGGCTGCTGGGGGGCACCTGGAAAGCCGAGATTCTCCCCCAGGGTCGGAGGGAGCTGGAAGGGGCTGGGGATGGAGGGCAAGAGCTGCTGAAAATGGCTGCCAGGACTTGCACGAGGCTGATGAGCTCTGCGAGCTGCCCGCGGGTGGACTCACCTCTCTGCCCTGTGCGCCTCAGTATGTTCGTAAACACAAGCTGATGCTGTGCCATGGGGAGACCCTGCCGCCGCAGTACGCCCTGGAGCTGCTGACGGTATACGCCTGGGAGCAGGGTAGTGGGGAAACCAAGTTCAGCATGGCCGAGGCCTTCCGCACCGTGCTGGACCTGCTCCAGCACTACGAGCATCTCTGCATCTACTGGACCATCAACTACGACTTCGAGGACATCACTCTGAGCTACTACCTCTCAAGACAACTCAGGAAAAGCAGGTGGGTCCGCCTGGCCGTTTGCATGGCCATGCTCAGCTCAGCACTCCTGGAGCCACCGCTTCTTGTGCACATGCCCACGTGGCCTTGTCCCCACATGTCCCTGCTCCAGCAGGGCTCCACAGCCCCCGTGTGCTGCCTGGGTCAGGGCTGCAGCCTCTGGGCTTGGGCTGAGGGCAACGGGGCCTCCCTGCTCGCGCAGGGCACAGGGTCCATGGCGGTGCCAGGAAGGGCCCTGTCCCAGCTGGGCCATGTCAGAGGCCACACTGAGCCCTGCGCGTCTCCTGCCACCACAGACCTGTGATCCTCGACCCGGCCGACCCGACCAATGCGGTGGGCGCAGGGAGCCGCTGGGACCTGGTGGCCGCGGAGGCTAAAATCTGCTGCACGCAGTGGTGCTGCTTGGATGTCCACGGGAGGCCTGTGCAGCCCTGGGATGTGCTGGTGAGGCCGCAGCCCAAAATGCCAGGGAATAACATGGGGCTCAGAGCACATGAGGACAGGGTGGGGGCCTCTCAGGCCCTGGGTGCTGCCCCTGCTCTTGCCCCTGCTCTCCCCTCTTGCCCCTCCTTTGGCGGGCGCTGAGAGGACAACCTGCCGCTCTGCCGTCCCCCCTGCAGCTCCTCCCTGCCGGCTCCTCGCGGGCACACGGGTATGCGCGGGGGGCAGAGCCACCCACGGCTGCTCTGCGCATCCCCCGGGCTGCGATGGCGGCAGTGCGTCTGGGGCTGCGCTGGGTGCCCCGGCCAGGGAGCTCCCTGCTCACTCTGTGCGTCTGGCCTTGTTGCAGCTGGAGCAAATGCCCTGGCAAAGCCAGGGTGTCCACACAGCCCCTGCCAGGATCCTGCTTGAAGGTGTGCTTAGGCAGACGTGGACACCAGGGCCGGAGCCAGCACCTGCCATCAGCACTTTCCCCGGGGCCCCGCATGCAGAGGAGCGGGCGTCCTTCTGCACTGTCCTCTGAGAGGCTGCTCTGCACCCCCACAGCTCTCCCACCTCCTCGTCCCCCTGCACGAGCTGCTGGCCCCTTCTCCTGCCTATCGCCAGCCTGGCTCCTGCCCGGCCACTTAGCTCTGGGATAATAAAGGCCCCTGGGATCTCGGAGCCGTCTCCAGAGGTTGCTGGCTCTCCAGGAGATACTTTGATTCTGCGTCAGGAAGAGGGAAACACAAATGGGGAGGAAGGAGGAGAGCTGCTTATGGGTTTTCTTCTCAACACTCTCACGGGCAGGGGGTCCTGGCCTTTCCCGGAGGCCTTGGGGAGACGGTGCTGCTCACAGGCACAGCAGGAGCTTGTGTGCCTCGACCTGCCGTGGGGCCAGCCTGGCCACGCTGAACTGGGGAGCAGCGGGAGGAATGGGGAGACACATCCCGGGCACCAGGGGCAGGAGCAGAGCTGCTCTGCTGGACACCAACGCGCAGGGACCAGCAGGCAGCCGAGGGACACGTGGC